GATTCTAAAAAAAACGCAAATGCGGGGAAAAAAAAAAAAAAATAAAAAAAAGAGAAAAAAATAAAAAAAAAAAAAAAAAAAAAAAAAAAAAAAAAAATAGAATAACCAATATAAAAAAAATGTAAGAGCTAAAATTGATTCGTTACACCATCCTCGAAGTCCTCCCTTTTCCGCAGGATACAAAGCCTGAGGATTTAACCCTACGTTTTGCCAAAGCTGATGAAAAGAATTGTGAAGAGTTAGGTTTGGGAGACGATACCACATTTCAGCAATATCTCAAGTCTTGTGCCGTGCAGGCGTCCTTTACTCTCAAAGTACAAATCGATACTGTGCAAAAACCATTCTCCGATTGGAAACTCAGTAAGGTATGCGAACTCCTTGGCCTGGCGTCGGGCATTGATGAATTTCCCACTTTCGATTGTGGTATCGACAAACTCGATTCAGAAAAAGCAAAAGATTTGATGGCTCACCTTTGCAAAGATCTGAGACTTCGTTATAAAGCGATACATGGTGAAACGGAGGCCACTCGGAGTGAATACGTCTCCCCCTTTCTTGTGACGGCCACATCGCTTTTTGACGGATTAGTAAAGTTATATCCGCAACTATATGTTGCAGGAAAATATGGCCGAGGTCCGCTTGATTTCTGCTTAAGACTCCTTGGAGTAATAATTGGTGTTGTGGAAGTAAAAAAAGAAGATTTTGACCAAGGCATGGCCCAGGTAGAATAAATCGTCATTTTGCATACAGATATACTGTACCTATGTTTATATTTTGATAATTTTTCAGAACGTAATCCAACTACATTCGTCTCTCGAAACTAATCGAAAGCGCAAGCATGACGAGATCGAGGATGAGTTTGCCGATAAGGCATACGGAATCGTTACCGATGGCCGAGCGTGGTATTTTGTCGAGTTTATTATGGATGGTGATAAACCAAAAATTAGCGTGCATTCAGAAACGCCAGCTGTTTTGGATTGGACGGAGGAATCAGAGTCTCTGGATAAGGGTGCAGGTAGAATCTTAGGCCGAATCGTCTGGCTTTTAAAAGAGGCGGAGCTGTGGGGAAAGTTAAATATGGCGGAGAAAAGGCAGAAAATCAATTAATGTAAAATATAAGTTTTTTTTCGGTTCTGTAGTTTATTTTTGTATTATGTAAACCCAATAAAGCAAACTTGTAGCGCACGTGATTTTTGATTACTGATAACCCGAAATGATCTCTGATTAGATCTTATATCCTACAAATTTTGCAAACGAATCATAATAGTGCTGATTCCGAAATAGATCATGTAACGATTATCCCGATATAGAACGACCCATTATCAATCTTGATTGGTTGATTGTTGTATATATGCAACTTACCGATTATCGACGATTTGCATGTTCCACAAGACTATGACATCTCCGATTGCGGGTTTAAAACGCATGACATCGCTCCCGTGTGATTTGCATATACTGTAAACATATCAATCGTAATTTTTTTTTTCTTGGCAAAAGCAAACGGCGTGACTTTTTTAACTTTTTGGTCACGCACTCATTATTCTATTTAGTCAAACTTTTGAACATATCCGCATTTTGTATAAAAATGGCAAACACACAATCCAAAGTCGATACATTAGAAGAACAGAATTCCAAACTTATAGCTGAGATTACTGAGCTTAGAAAGGAGAATGCGAAGCTGAAGCGGATTATCGAGGAGAATGAAAAGCGCAATGTTAAAGTCAAGGAATTAGAGCAAAAGAATATAGAGCTTGAAACTAGGCTCGCTATATTAGAACAGGGAAAAGAAGAAAAAAGTATTTCTATTGCAGAGCAGGCCGTATTGTGGAACAATGGCACTTGCATGCCTAGGCGATTCTCCGAATCATGCCTCTTCGAGCCTACAGAAGATGTTTCGCATTCTCCAGTAAATTTTAACGATTCTCTCAAACAGATAGTGTTACATTGTGGTGATACCCCGATATCTGATATAATTGATGACACTTTAAATTCTGATGACACATCTGATGTATCCAATAATGTTCCAAATTCTGACGAATATCAGTCTCGAATCTCCGATTCATCTTTGACTATACCACCTATATGTGTAAAGTCTAAATCATCGGAAGATAAAAGGATTGATAATTTTCTGAATGAAAAATGTAATGAACAGATTCGTAACGAAATAAGAGAAAGGAATCGGGAAAAGAAGTTATTACAGAATAATGAAGCTTCCGCTTCTCAAGCCCAAAACTCATATTTGGATAGCTCGCCAAAATCTCATAAATTACGCATCAAACAAATTTCAGAATCGCAATCTATTCCTAACACTCCTAATTTACCTGAAGAATCATCAGAACAAAATACAGACTTACAGAAAACAAAAATCTCTGAAATAGACGTACAGCCGTTGATAGAAGAATTAATAATAGAACCTTTAGTGGAAGATACCGTTAAAGTTGTTAATGTTGATAAAATTTCTACAGATAAGCAATCACTCGCAATCGAATTGGTCTATCTATTTGAAAAAATAAGCTTGGCAGAAAATAATACTAAACGAGCCAAGGTGGAAGAAATTACAAGCTGGTACCAATATAGAAAGCATTTCGAAAAAAGACTTGATGATATCTTACCTGAAAACTAAAGAAATGATAAGAAAGCCTATGATTTAGCAAGTGGGAAGATTTATGATGAAATGCTACAGTATCTTTCAGGTATTTCTCATGTAAGTTTGCGTAAAAGAACTCAAAGAACTAAACCTATATATAAATTATTTAGCGTAATTGGAGAAGATAAAATTAAGCAAGTTAAAACTTATAGTGCAAATAAACTCTCGAAGTTAACTGACATGCAAATCGATACAATTAAGAAGCATTTCATTGCTATACCGCGTGATCTAAAGTCACGCACTCATATGACCGAGGTAAGTACACCTATAGTATCTCATCCCAAAGAGGCTTCATTGGAAACAGTATCAGCAAATAATATCTCTCGAGAAACTAAGATCCCATCCACACCTCAATTCACACAGATATCTTTTGAAGAAAAGACTTTATTTGTACCGCGGGTAAATATTCAATCTACATCATCTAAACGACAATTCCCAATTTCTGTTTTACCCAAAGACCCAGAAGAAAGGCAACAACACGTTATTAAAATGGAATTAGAACAATTTCCTTATTTATCTTCGAAGTATAGCAGGCCCGAAGGGGCGATGGATCGAAGATCTGAGACTCTGTCTCCTCTAAAGGGTCATAAAAATTGCGATTATTTCGATTTTAATAGTTCAGTATCCTGCCCTATATGCAATAAAAACCATAAAAAAGAAAATATAAGAGATAATATAGAAGGTGAATGGGGTAGTGGTGATTATGTCAATACAAAAACTTATCATCTCAAATGCTGGAAGGCCTATCAAAATTCAATCCAAATAGTAATGGTGAAAGCGTAGAGCAATAAGCATATAGGATAAATATGAGATCACGGGCTTTTTATTTGACATGTTCCATGAGACACGGAGTGTCATTTCTCCGAAATACTTCTATGTCGATCCTACCCGTGATGTGATTGGTTGATAAATTTTTGACCGTTAACGGTTTTTAATTATTCTGATTGGATAGACGAATAATGGGAGATCAGTGGTATATTGTAACGTGATATAGCGAAATAAATTAAATATATTTTTATTACGTATCATAGTAACAAAAAATGTCTTATGAATTACGTGATCAGATTTCCAAGTATATTGGTTTCAGTCCTGAAGAAATCTGTCTCCCAATTATGAATGAAGATAAACAGCTTTTTCAGGAATTAATAGCAGATCAGGAGGAGATGATTGATGTTGTAATGAATGAGTATCGATTTTTACTTCATCACGGACATAACTATAAGGGCAAAAAATTAATACATATAATGTGGGTATATATATGTACTGAAAAAAGTGCTGAGAAAGTATTGATAGAGGTACCTCCATCGAAAATATTATCTAGAAAGGTTTTAGCCCACATCAAAGAACGATTCAAAGACCTTCCACTCGCATCAGTTATTATAGTTGATTAGATAGATCATTACTCTGGAATGCGGACACAGTTGGTATGCTTATTTTTACAATGTTTTCGGATAGGAGAAACAACCTTTTTCTTTTTAACATAAACACGATGAATCGGAGATTCGAGGCTCTGCCTCTTTTTTCGGGGTTTTATTGGGTCGAGATCATACCAGTCTGAATCCATAGATTCTGAATCGGAGCTGGATGAATCAGTCTCTGTCTCAGATTTTATCTATGGTAGCTTTGCTTTATTTATACAACTTAGTTCATATTCAATAATACGAAGTTTTTCAAAAACTCTATACTCTATATCATTTTCTATAGAATGAACTGACTTCTAAATATTATTGAGGTACGTTTTGATTGAAAGATTTCCATATCCATCGCCTAAATCTATCTTGGGATATTTCTTAATCTTACCAGCTCCGCTATTTTTGGAAACATCATCATTTAATCTTCTGGGTGTTGGAAGTACGGGAGGTATATTGTGAAATATTCCGTGATGGCTCTTTTGGTGTTTAATATATTGGGCACCTGAGAGAATTTTCTTGATTGTATTCGCGACCTCCTCTGAAGTTAGACCATATTTAGACTCCGTTGAATTAGATAAGTTATTTTTAACGGAGCTGGTCTTATTTTCTTTAATTAATAGGATACTCATACCATCTATTACAATTCTAGCATGACAGGTATAAGTTTTGGGGGAATATTCAAAGCTTATTTTTGCTTCACGCATCCATAACCAGTCTTGTCCCAGCACCAGATCAAACGATGGATTTTTGCGAATTTGGAAGTCTATTACTTCAGTATTACCTAAGCCCTGCCACTTTCCTTTATAATGGAATTGTAAATCTAGGCCTTTTATTTCTTCGCCTATTATATCTTTATCGAGTAGACCTTCTAATCCGTGATCAGACTCAAGCTTATTATACAAGCGCCTGCTAATAGTATTGGATTTAGATGTTGTATCGATTAATGCTTTTACTGGGATTTTTCCTTCGACGAGTGTATCAATGAAAAACATATCAAATATTATTTAATGATGTATATTATAACTGAAAAAAATTCCCGTAGATCACTTAACCAAATTAGGACCAAGAAGAAAAAACTTTCCCTT